AACTATTATTAAAACGCACTCACCATGTCCCGCTTTTGTCTGTCCGGTCTATTCCCGTGCTCACGAATTCGTTATACGGCTAGTACCACTTCGCTACACTGCGAAATACTCGGATGCGAGAAAGAAATACTTGAGTGCACTTGGATAAATTTTTTTTACAGTCTCACTAGCCTAGGTTTTATACACATTAATTTTACTTCCCATTCATTTTTATAGCGTTAGCTGCTTTTATTAAATGAAAAGAATGGTCAAATGCAAATTTGATGGTATTTGTTTGGTTTGTTAAATCCGGTTTTTTTGGCATATTACCCTATACCTTTAAACGAGCAATTCTTGTGTATATATATAATCGGAATCTCGGAAACGGCTCCAACGATTTCCATAAAATTTTGTGTGCAGGGAGTTTCGGGGGCAATAAATCGATCTAGCTAGCTAAGATTTATTTTTACAAAATGTCTTTTTGTCCGTGTTTTTAGGCTATGAAAAACTGCTACAATATCGTTAGAATATGAAGGTAAATTTTGACAGTTTATTAATGATTACAAATAGCTTAATTGGTATATTGGGCGGTTACAAAATCGTAATACCATGGTTCGAGCTCAGACCGACTGACCGACTTTTTTTAATTTTACCGAATCCAGAAATTCCGTAACGAAAAAAAAACCTCACGCTCCCCACTCCGACGGGCACGGAGGTGTGGCGTTGAAAGCCGTGCATCGTCTAACGTCGTTTCAGTTCGGCAGACTTCGGCACTCGGCAGACTTCGGCGCGGTGTTTGTGTGCGTGCGACTAGACGTATGCGTGTACACTAGTTGCTCACTCAATGATAAAAATTCCTGAATAACCTACATATATTGTAAGATATTAAAAATATTTTAAACAATATTAACTTCTCATTTATTCAATAAGAGAAAAAAATTGTTTTCTTATCGGTCACCACGCTCAAAAAGTGTAACTTGATTTAATATCAAAGACTTAACTGCATAAATAAAATAAATAAATAATTATAATTGCATAAATTGATAAAAAATGCTATGCAATAGCTTTACCGCGGCAGTCACCGAGTGCCACACGTATTTTTTTTCAAGTTCCTTTCTTTTTTGAGAAAATGTATTTTTTCGAGCCCTTTTTTTAGTATTTTTTAAAAACACGAAAATTTAAATTAAACTAATTGCACTCATGATTTTTTATTCAAATAACCAGTTCAGTTTTTTCTATTATGTCGTTAAGATCAAAAAATACTATTCGTATTTCATCAGTATGTAATTTGTATGTAAATATAATTTCCAAAACACACGAATTAAAAAAAACAGGCGAAAAATACCGAGCAAAGCTCGGTCAACCGGGTACTATAGATAAAAAGTAGAATATGACTTATAACAAATGAACTACTGTGCAAAAATAACTAAGATGGAATACCTCGTTTCCAGTAACAAGTGTCTCCGGTTCTCTACACCCACCATACGAAACACAGCAGCATTAAACTAAGTACTATTTTACGCTGGTATTCTGTGAGAGCGTGCTCCTTCGTCGGTCGAGCCGACCCATTCATGCTACAACTATACTACTAATATAATTGCAGCATGACTCTACCACGTATGGAAGTCTTAAGAGACGATCAAGAAAATAGTCAAAAAAGTTTTACGGTTTTCGATAGATTTCAATTATTTCTATCTCTATTCGAATGGTAAACTAGTAGAAAGATGGAAGAAGGCAGTTAAAACTAAGATACAATATGTACCTAATTATCAAAAATATAAATAATTAACATAAGAGCTAACCGTGACTTTCATTTACAAAAACTGACAACTTTCCTGTATTGTCCTGTATCCCAAATATTAGGAATTTTTCGATGTTGATCATATACTAAAAATAAATTAAAAAGTTCTGAATTAGAGAGGAAATCAAAACACATAAAAGCGTTATAAAAATTGACATTTATTACGCCTTACAGATAAAAGGTTGACAAAGTGTTACACAGTGGAAAAGTATGTACTTACCATCGGAATGGAACGCTTAGTAAGGAGAAAAAAAAACAAATTTGCACATAATTTTAATAATACTTATAGCTTCTGATTTCGGTGTTAAAACAAAAGCAAGGTTTAGACGAAGCCTGTGTTGGCTGCTGGTGAAACTGCGCTGGCTTGATATTGGCCTCGTATAAACAGTTTTTCAAGACAAGCCAGCGCCGGTTGCCAGCACTTGTGGGAATACAACGCCTGCCTATTTTTCAAGCCAGTGACCTCCGCGCGCGTCCCCTGCAACCCCGCTCCAGAACAAATAATTTGTATTATAAAAATTTTGTTAGTGATATTGTACAAATTCCTATATTTAATGTATGTACTATAATTATGATAAACATTATTTTCAGTTGAAGTTTAAAAAATAATTAATTTAATACAACGATTTACAAGAATAATCTAGGAATTAAATTAATTCATTTCGCCTCGTCTGAACAACACGGGCCAGGCCAGCGCTGGCTTGTCTGAGCACCAGCGTTACTGGCTTCGTCTAAACCTTGCTAAAGTTATATCGAAGAATTGAAGTCCCGACTTCAAAGCTATTAAATTATATGGAAATTATTTTATTTCTTTAGTTTATTGAACATTGTTTTTAATTTTGAAGTGAAAACTTCTTTAGCGGCGTTGTACACTTTTTTGTAATGGGTAAAAAATGTTAAACTCGCGTCAGGACACGTGACCCTAATCGAAAATTTGTAAGACGGATGGAGAGAGAGAGAGAGAGAGACAGCCGGCGCGGCGTAGGAGAGGAAGTATCCCTCTCTCTTTCTACGGCACGGCGAAAATGTATGCCTGCGCCTGCTGTTGCTGTTTCGTTTAGGCGGCGCAGGGCGCTTGCGCGAATGTTCGTGTGTATAATTAAAGCAATTCGTGCAAAATTATTCCCTAATCATTCCAAAATATTAAAAATGCTCAACGTTACTATTCAAGTTTTCACTTCTGCTGGCACTCCTGGAGTGCAACCCGTCGTTTTTTTTTTAAGCTTTAATTGTTAAATTGTCAAGAACTTGGTTATTATGAATGTGGTGTCTTTTACATAGTCAGACAAGAGTATTGATAAAACCCGCGTATATAATTTTTAATTAATCAAAAACTATAATATCCATTACAATTATTCATTCTATTTATAGATATCGGGTAAATATTTGACATCGAATAATCAAAATAATGTCTATGCTTTACATAGATTGGTTGGGCGGCGGGCCTTAGGGATGCCGAGTCCGATTCCCCGGTCGAGCCTTGACCCTATTACGCGAGATGTTATACTAGATGGACTGTATACGCGGTAAGCTTCTTCTGCCTCAACAAGATGGCAGAGGTGTCACACGGTTCCTTGACAATGCACTCGCTCTTCCGAAATCTATTGTTTGCCAAGGTTGTGAAGGAATCCTGCTTGAGCACATTAGGAGGAATGAAATGGGGCGGGTTAACTAACAAACAAATACTCAAGCAGGCATTGAGTTATAGGAAAAAGAAACACACTTACCGGGGCGTGACTTCGATGCGGCTTGGACGCTTCTGTTGCTGCGTTGCGACTTCTGGCGGATCTCCTGGGGCCCCAGGGATGCGGTTCTGGCCGGTAGTGCGATGGAAGAGAGCGGTACGCGACGATATCTCACACTATGTGAGGCGGTTACTTCTGGAGCTCGACTGCTCCAGGTGCGGTTCTAACTAGCGACGCGAAGGCAAGAGAGCGTTCGAGCCCAGCGCGCGAGCTTATATCGGCTTCTTTCCCACCGAAGTCGGGCGCTCTTCTCATTGGTTGCAAAAATCACGCAACATTCTAGAATCTCTTCTTTCCCCTCTCACCCCACCACCCCGGTGTGTACGGAGGGACGATAGGCTAAGGAAAGGACAACGCTTGGCAAGCATACCCTCGAATAAAATTAAAATACGAATGGTTTTCCGCGCAACCATAGATTGTTATAAGTTATAACCGAATGTCTATATCTATCGACAGCAAAAAGTTGGTTATCGAAATTAAGACGATTTTTTTAAAGTCGTGAAACATGTATCCTGCACTTGTGAAAAGAGTAGTCAGCACCAATCGCCGGAGTAACAAAACACCAGCCCACAAACGCCAACTATTTTATTACATTGGTAAGAATTAACACAGACAATGTTTTTATAAAAATACGAAGATCTACCTGTAGGTGTTACTTGTGGCCAGTGTGTAGGGAAAATAGCTAGAATTCATAACGTAAGCCGCGTTACCACTTAACTATACTGCACAGCACTCGGACGCGTCAAGTGCACTCGCTAGAATATCTCTCACGGAATTTCAGTCTGGCTAACTTACTTTTTTCTTGTTTAAAGCACTGTATAAATCTAAATGAATATAAAGCTAGTTAATAGGCTAAGTATATATTGAATTTTATTTTACTCTCAAAATTTTAAAACATAGGCACCATAAATTAAAATGATTAAAAACCTAGGTAAGTCTCTTGCAGCAGATAACATCCATAAATATTTTTATTAGGCTTATTTGCTGCTTTTATAGAACCTCCACACCGGTTTTCGGTTTTCGAGCTTTATAGTCGATCTAAAGCAATTTCCAACTTACTAATCCAATGTCTAGATACTTTGTAAAGTTTAATTTGTTTTATATAATAGCCGAATAAATTTATTTTACAATAACTAAATTTCAATTGCTATATCAATGACATTTTTTTAGCTCAGAAACTATTAATCAGAATTTCTATCAATGAATTGTATGCTGTTGACGGCGTCTTAATTTGATTTATATTTTTATTATTTAAAAACATAATACAATGTCTATAAAAAGGAATCATTACAGTTTATAAAAAGCATTTTATTTTAATTGACATAAGATGATAGATTAGAACGTAGTATGCGCAGTTTTCATACGTTAACTCACTCATATCTGAGCCCCAGACGTCACTTTTCGGCGATGTTTGTGCTGCTAGCCAGGGGGTCATTCCAGCTTCAGCAGACTTTCTATTATAAGCGTGACTGATGATGACGATACCACTGATAGTGATGATGTACTTGCAGTTAGTGTCTGATAGTCAGTTTTCCGGAACAGATTTTACTTATTCAGACTGTGTACGGGTGAGTTATATAACTGCCGCGCCGCGCCGTGCGAGTGGGGGGTGGGGTCGGACCCTGACTCTGACAGATGGGCGAGTTTTAATAAGACGGCGCAGCTGCGCTGGTCACGTGCATCGCTCACGTGCCCAATACACGTTTTTGTTTATATAAAAGGGGGCAAACGAGAATATGGCCAACTTGATGCTGAGTGACTACCCCCGCCCTTGAACAACTGCAGTACCAGGGGAATTGCAGATGCGTCGACGGCTTTTAAAAAAATGTTTAGGCTCTTTTCTTGAAGATCCCTAAGTAGTATCGGTCCGGCAAATCTCTGGTGGTAGTCGATTCCACAAGGAAGTTGTGCGAAAAAGAAAACTTTTAGTAAATTGCATAGTCCAGATGGTATGAATGGTATCGCGATTTGTTGCGATGTGCGATGGTGAAATTGAACGGCTTGAATTAGTCCGAACAATTACTCTGAGCACTCCTCTTGGTAGATGCGATAGACTACGCAAAGAGATGCAACATCGCTTCGAAGCGCTAGTGATTCAAGCCGAACAAAAAGAATTCGGTCACCGACGATTCAAACTGCTCTGCGCGGAATGCATCAAGTGGAAGGACTGACACCGGGGTGCTCCGGCCCACACCTCATATTTGTAATCTTTCTGGGTAGTAAGACTCGTTTTCTGCCTGAGATTCAGTCTAGGTATTGCGGGCGTCCTTATCCACTTACATTCTATGAAAGCCTGCCGGGACCAATTAAATGGTTAATTGCAATTTTAAGTGCTGATTTAAAACGTTTAAAAAATATTTCGAAAACATGTGAAGTTTGCGAACAAGTATTGGAGCAACACGGTGGACATTTCCTAGCCCGCTCAGATATGAGAGAAGGCCTGTGCCCAGCATTGGGACGTATATAGCCTGTAATTCGTTTGTTACTTGAGTTTTATAGAAATTCTTATATTTTGTAAATTACTTTGAAAATTGCAATTTTTCACCGAGTTTAATGTCGTTAGATAACCCGAGCCATAGAATGCACTCGTGAAATTTTCTGACAATAACATTCTGCAGTAGGTTACTAAAATATTCATGTCTAGCACCATCTTCTTTATACATAATAGGTTGGTGAAAAAGTTTCTTCGTATTTTGTTTGTATAAAATTAAAGAAAACTGTTTGTACCGTATGTGGCTGGTTTTAATATCAATACATATAGAACATAAGAAAAAAAATAAAAAGTAAAAAACTCTTCCCGCCAAAATTAGTGAATCCAACGAAGGAATTTGATACATTCTGAAGTTTTATTATAAAAAAGGGAAAAATAGGACCTATAAATAACAAAATATGGTCGTGTGAACAAAAATTTTTCACGGTTAGCCATAGAATAAATCAGCGCCATCTCTTAAATACTCATGAACTGCCACGAAGCGAGTGTTTCCACTTATGATTTTGGTTTTATCGTAGAACCTGTAGAAGTACTCCCTAAATTATCGTAAAAAAATCTAAATTGCCTTATTCACACCTAATTTTGAGTATTTTAAAGAATAACAGCGTTGCAAGTATTAAATATCATACCGATTATACGATTATTATACCGATCATATACGATTTTTTTATAGAAACTTAAAAACAAAAAAAAAATATTAAAGCTCTTGAGAAAAACAAAACAAATATTAAAGCTCTTGAGTTTTGTGATGAAGAAGACTTTCTCATTTTTAAATTATAATAACACATAGTCTCATAGAAATAATGAATATGTAAGGAAGTAAAACATTATACCATTATTCAGAATACGGAATATAATCTTAAAAAAAAAATGACATTACTCACGTGGTAGAGCTATGCTGCAGTTATTTTTGTAATATAGTTGTAGCACGAATGGGGCGGCTCGACCGGGGAAGGACCACACTCTCGCAAAGTACCAACGTCAAATAGTAACTTAATGCTGCTGTGTTTCGTATGGTGAGTGTAGAGAACCGGAGACCCTTTTTACTGGAAATGAACCATTCCATCTTAGTCTTCACAGGTGACAACGCATCTGAATTTTGATTTCTAATTGAGGTTTAATTGAGGTATGGGCCACAGCAACCACTTACCATCAGGTGGGACTGTGTACTTGTTTGTCACCCTATCCTATAAAAAAATAATTGGGTGGGTATAGAAATCAGGGTTACCTTGAAGTTCGATTTCACCCCAAATTATCCAAAACCTTGTCAACTTGAAGAAACGCCTAAAGCCCTACCTATATTTAGTAAATTTACTATAAAATAGTGCAAATATCTAAAAGTGGGAAACATTGCACGGACGCACGGAAAGCGTATGAGCTCGCGTCGGTGCTCCATAAACATTTTAGCACCAATGAGTCGGTGCCATTTTGTTTGTTCAATGACCCGGTCCATACGCAGTAGTATAATAAGTCTACGCTTAAACCGATTTTTTTAATAATATTTTTTTTTTACTTTTATGGACCTAATGCAGTCTAAGTATTTTGATGTCAAAGATACAACTCCCTTCGGTCGTCCTCATACGGATAAAGTTGATACTATTTTAGAAAGAGTGAAGCAAGATCGACATATTAGTAGTTGCGACATAACAGTTTTGACCCATTTGAAAATGTCAGGCCATGCAAAAAAGCTCGATATTTGGGTACAACACAAGCTTACTGAAAGAAACCCAATGAATCGTGTACTCATTTGCGATTCTCTATTAAAACGTAATGAAACCGAACCATTTTTGAAAAGATTGATCACTGATGATGAAAAGTGGATCACCTACGCCAAGAACGTGCGAAAAAGATCAAAAAGTAGCGAAACCCGGATCAACACGCAATAAAGTGATGCTGTGTGTATGGTGGGATTTGAAGGGCATCGTTGATTATGAGCTTTTACTGCCGGGCAAAACCATCGATTCAGTTCTCTGCTGTCAACAACTATTGAGACTCAAGCAAGAAATTGAGAAAAAAAGGCCGGAATTGATTAACGGAAAAGTAGTGTTCTTTAATCATGATAACGCCAGACCACAAACATCTTTGGCCACTCAGCAAACACTTGAGAGAGCTTTTTTTTTGAAGATTATTATTAAGTTGTAATTAAAAAATATTAAATGTTAATGTACCCACCATATAATCCTGACCTTGCACTCTCCTATTTTCACCTGTTTCGGTTTCTTCAGAATTATTTGGGTAGTGTTAAGGTTAATATCAAGAGAGGACGGTCAAAACTACTTGTCGCATTTTTTTAATCAAAAATCCTAAGATTTCTACTGCAACGGGATTATGTTACTACTTACAAGATGGCAACAACTTATCGCACAAAATGGCACATATATATTGAAATTAAATGTAATTACACTTTGAAAAAAAAATGTCTTGAATTTGTATACAACATGTAACAAAAAACCTGTGGTTCCCGTTAACAGCGTTATCAGAATCAGTACCGAAGCGTATAGAAATATTAAAAAAAAAGACATTAAAAAAATAATTTTAATGAAAAAAAAATTATTTGCAAATTGTATGTGGTTTTATTTCCTCTAACTCACACGAGTATCGGTAATGCCGAGTCTGACAATCCTCTTACTCCTCGGCCAATGCAGAGACAATAAAACCACATACAATTTACAAATTAATTTTTTTTCATTTAAATAATTTTTTTAAATGTTTTTTTGAAAAAAAGAATTATTTCTATATGTTTGGATAATGATTCTGACAACGCACTTAACGGGAACCACAGGGTTTTTGTTACATGTTGTATAAAATAGGAAGAAACTTTCCCCGACCTTATATATTATTGAAAAGAACGATAATATAAAAACATTTCACAACTAATTATATTTTATTCTTCTTATTCATAAGTCTTATAATATTCTAGTAAAATTTGCAGTAACATAATTTTTAATATTATCAAATGTAGGCATTGTAATGTAAGACGAAAAAAATTAAAAAAAAATTCAGTCGCATTGTTAACGCATGCCCCTTCTTTTTTAAATCGGCTAAAATGCTTTCCATTCGTGCATATCACCGAATCGTGAGATATTACCGAATAAAGAAATGCTTTAATTTTTTTTTCTTTGTCCATATAGGGCGGTTACCCAGCAAAATTGAAGAAAGTGCTAATAGTAACGGCGCCGCTGTGGTTTAAAGCGCCATTTCGCATTCTGCGTCTATTCGTGCGGGAGAAACTACGCGAACGTGTCCACACGGTGAGCGCGCCTCAGCTGGGTGCCCACGTTCCTCGAGCAAGCCTGCCGCGCCAGCTCGGCGGTCAGCTCACACCGGATCACGCTGCTTGGTAAAAATGCAAATTTTGTTAAAGAGTCTTAAGCCGTTATCACTTATGACACTGGCGATTTGCAAGTGAGTTCAAAGCGAGGCGAGTGTGCAGCGAGTTCGCCGCTAGTGTGCCGCGAAGACAGACACCACGACACAGAATAAATAAACCGCGAATACAGCGCCTCCCCGTACCCATTGCTCAAACGTCGTTAATTCAAGGGATACGGTGTTATTCGTGCGGTGTGTCTTTGCGGTAGGCTCTGCGCGCGCTCGCTGCGAACTTACGGCGCACTCGTCTCGCTCTGAACTCGCTTGCAAATCGCCAGTGCAATAAAACTCTTACCACACAATTTGGCGAGGGTGCAATTGATCATAAATTAATAGCCTACTTACATCCCTTTCTGCCTTTTGTGATGATGGGCTTTTTATATAAGTAACTTCAATTTAATGAAAACAAAGTTTACATCGTAGAGCCACGCTGCAGCTATATTATGGTTGTAGCACGAATGGGTCGGCTCGACCGGGCAAGGGCCACGCTCTCCTAGAATACCAGCGTAAAATAGCAGCTTAAATCTGCTATGTTTCGTATGATGAGTTTAGAGAACCGGATAACCCCTTTTAATGGAAACGAGGCATTCCATATTAGTCCTCACGGGTGACAATGCATCTATCTGCATTTTGATTTGTAGTCGAGGATAGATGTAGATGCCTATGGGGCACAGCAACTTCCTACTTAACATCAGGTGGACTGTGTGCTCGTTTGTCACACTATCCTATAAAAAATATAGTTTGATAGCGTGTCGTGTCCCCCGCCGGTTACAGGCCCTTACGAAGTACAAAATCAAAAGCTCGACAAAAGAAATATGAGTGATAATAATGAAGATATCGCGTGACATACGTTAAAAAAACACAGTTGTATGAAAAACTCTTCGTTTTGAAGTTCTTTCAAAAGTACAAAAGCACACACATGGGTCTTTATATATGAAATTGGCGTTTTGTATAGTAAAAGCAAATATAAAAAAATGGAATTATTCATTATATTAATCAAAGTATGTGCATACCTTTGCTATCTTTGCACTTTCGTCATTTATAGGTAGTTCACTGATTCCTTTGCTAAAAAAATTGCAGGAGCGAGTATCATCGCATATCATCTTTGAAGGTTTTGACTGTCTCGTCGGAATTGTATTTTTTTCCATGCAATAAATTGTCGAAATTCCGGAAAAAGTTGGTGTCGGAGCCATTCCAATCGCAGCTCCTCTAATTTAGCGACCGCCTGTTGTGCAGTGTGTGGTCTAGCGTTGGCCTGAAGCAGCAGTGGGCAGGAGCAATTGACCACTCTCGGTTGTTTGACGTTTACTTTTTCCATAAAGGGTTGCAATTGTTGACAATACGGATCTACCGTTATCGTCTGGCTAGATCTTATAAAGCTGTAGTGGATAACATCAGCACTGGTCCACCTTACATTTACCAGTAGTACCTTTTTCTGAGTTAACTTTTAAGAAGAACCAACTTTTCAACTTCAAAGTCAACTTTTGGGAAGGATTTGGCCGGTTTTCCTGGGTTCAACCATTGTGCGTCAGCGTCAATGTGAGCATTTCCAACTATCGTATAGGATCCATTTTTTATCATAAGTAACGATACGATTCAAAATTCCCTCGTTATTGTGGCGGTTGATTAATGTAACCCAGCACTCGACGCGTGTTTGTTGGATCCATTTTTCATCACAAGTAACGATACGATTGAAAATTACCTCGTTATTGTGACGGTTGAGTAACTAAGCACTCGACGCGTGTTTGTTGGTGTGCTTCATTCAATTTATGCGGTACCCATTTTTCGAGCATTTACACTTTTCCAATATTTCAAGTGAATTAAAATTGTTTTATCACTCACATCGAAACCGGCTACTAACCGTGGTTTGCGATGGAACTGTTCTACAGTCACTTTTAACTATTCATTGTCAACTAGGGTCTCCGGCCGTCCACGGAGCTTGTTCTATAGATCAAAACGAAAGAAAGAACGAAAACGTTGCAACCAAAAGCGCTGGTGCCACGGTGATACTTGTACTTGTAAATAACGCAATATTTTATGCTTTCCATGTTGTAAATAGAACAATCTCAACAAAATCAAATTGTGCGAAAATAAATGAATCATTGAATTGAAGATACAAGTAAATACACAAACCGATATAATTTATAATAAAGTTTTAACTTGGAATTCCTAACCAAACGCTAGATGTTTGAGATCAATGTGGCCAGTTCGACAAAACGCCAATTTCATTTGTAAGGACCTAAAGATTACATTACGTTTATTGATTCTACTCAGAGTAGCAATATGTTTATTGTTTCATTGCACTGAGTTTAATAAGCAGTTGTAATTATACCGTATAATTCTTCTTTTTCATTAAAAATAAAATTATTTTTAATGAAAAGAAAGCATTATACGGAAAAGGCTTAGCAAGAGTGAGGCGGGGCCAGATGGGCAATGCCTATACTTAACAAAATTAGGGGAGGAGGGGGTGGCATTTTCCGATGTACTTGTAGCAACTTCGGGCGGCAGCAACCCATGCTACGCAGCTGGTCAAAGGGTTGTAGTGTTATGCTTACATACATACTTACATATCATTTTACACTATTTTATTTTTATTTTTCCATTCTGTTTTTGATTTTCTACATTCACCTCAAAACTGGATATTTTGCATCACCTTTATTTCCATAGGATCCTGTAATATTTTTAATTCATAAGAACACAATAACAAATCATTTTCACTTCGTATTTTCACGTTATCAGCACTTTTTAAATCGGTGTCAATGGAGTCTACCTTTTTCGATCTTTTATTTAGTTCTCCGTAACTCTACAATTTCGGGTTTCGTGCGCGCTCTTGCGCTACCTTTTTTCCTATATAAATAATATCTCATTTTTCACTTAAATCTTGCCGTTTCTGTATTACGAGCTTAAAACCAAAATTTGACATGTTTTGACATCGTTGTTTATCTGGTTGTCGTGGCAATTTTTATTCAAATATTGTTACCGGCCTGATGTTTTTACTTCAAAGATACTCTTTTCTTCTTGGCCATTTACAAAAATTTGCTTTTAATTTAAATAATTTCAAATAATTTCTCGTTCTTATCCCAGATCCGTCAAAAAGTATAAAAGCCGAAGAATCGGCCGATAGAGGTCCTCACTTCAGCTTTGATACGAGAAGCACCTCTTAAAGGCTTTATCCGCACTGCCTCGGGATCTTGCAAGCCTTCTCCTGAAGTCGTCGCCTAGCCACGCCTACGCCTCCACCTATTAGTGCCCGCGCTATCTTCGGCCGCTGAGCGTGCTTGTCTCAAGCGCTGCGTGTTCCTACTCCAGACGCTGCGTGTCTACTCCGGACGCTGTGTGTGTCTACTCCGGACGTTGTGTTTGCCTACTTCAAGCGCCACGTGTACCTACTCCAGACGCTGCGTGTCTACTCCGGGTGCTGCGTGTATCTGCTCCGGGCGTTGCGTGTGCCTACTCCAAGCGCTGCGTGTACCTTCTCCAGACGCTGCATGTGCTTTCTCCAGATTCTGCGTGTACCTAGAGCAGGCGCTGTGCACCTATCATAGGCATAGCCTATGCATACTTCGTTGCAGTATCTTTATTTTTGTTTTTTTTTTTTAATAATATTGTAAATCACTATCATCATTACAGCCCATCATCACCTTCATACCTTTTTTTATAAAAGAAACTGTAAATCTTTTCAAATTTTTAAATAATTTATTTTATTTTTGGTTGTTTTGTTGTAGTTAGGTTAGGTTATTTAGTTTTTAATTGTCGCTTCACGACAATTTGGCGCCCAACGTAAAAGTTCTTCTTTTCTTCACCTTAGCTACGCCTTATCCATTTCCTTTTGATTGAATTGCTTTCTCTTTCGTTCTTAACTCTTTATTTACTCATCCTTATCATATCTTCCAAATTCTAAAACAAAACTTCATCTAGTTTTTCAACTTATCTGGATTATATTTAGACCTACATATAACACTTACATTCATCACTTTAATATTTTTATTCTAGAGAACTTAAAGAGGTACTATCTTCCAAATTCTAAAACAAAACTTCATCTAGTTTTTCAACTTATCTGGATTACATTTAGACCTACATATAACACTTCACTTACATTCATCACTTTAATATTTTTATTCTAGAGGTACAATTTTTTATTAAATTTTTATTTCTTAAACTTAACACTTAATTATAACAATGAAACGGGTTATTAAGTACGAATTCCTTAACAAGGCCGAACTCGAATACGAAGTGAAGATTAGATGTGAGGAACCAGCTAATACTGTTTTGCTTCTAAAAAAACAGGTTTTGCGTTTAGTTGAGAATTCTCACCCTGAAGATATTCTGACTTCTCCAATTCCGATCGAGGATGACTTGTCTCAAATTGGTTCTACTTTGACTTACCTGGACTGTAAAATTGAAAAATTTTTACAAGGTGAAACCAAATACTTACGATTAATAGAAACTTTTATTAATCATGTTTTTTACAGATTGGAGCGAATAGATACTGACTTATATCCAGACTTTAAAGCTATTTTCGATACTTTGAAGATGAAATTTGACGCTATTACTAAACAATTCGAATCCTTGACTCCACCTCCAACTGAAAATGACTCTCCATCACTTGACCCTCCTGTTGACCCGATTGTCATGGAACCTCCTCTTGTTTCTCAAACATCTGTTACGATCCATACCCCGTATCCTTCACCACTACCTCAATCTTTTTCTCCAACTAACGTCTTCAAAGATCTGAAAAGACACACGTTCAATGGTAAAAGCTGTCCAAGATCCTTTCTTCAAAAACTTGAAGAATACTGCTTAGCTCGCGGCTTATCCAAAGACTTGTTGATCTCTCAAGCATTTGAAATTTTCACCGACAATGCTCTTCATTGGTTCAGATTTAAATATAATCAGAATCCAAACTTAACTTGGAACGAACTTTCCTCTTTATTAATCAAAGACTTTGGTGGTTTTGATTATGATTATAAA